GGGGGGGGACACATCGCCTGTAAATTCGCGAACCAATAATTACACTTAGTTCGTCTCCCCCCCACACATACACAAAGAGAACCACGTTTATTTTTTTTAATTTCTCTTCATGTTGCTTCTTATAATTGTCCTAAAAGACATTTAGATCCATGATTTTGTAAAATGTAGTAAAAAAGGGCAGACAATGTCTGCCAAATATGTCAATGAAACTGGTGGCACGAACTCGAGTTTGAAAAATCTGTCATTTCTGTGTCATTAAGGTATGGGCAGTAAAAAAATAGAAATTATATAAGAGTATTATATTTGCTGTTCTTGAATGATGTTTAGTGTGGCCAGTGCTATTCATTGTAACAGATTTCAGTAAATCTGTTGAATAATTATTTGAGTAAGAATGAATCAGATATAAACATCACTGTTTAATTATATTTTTATATTATGCTTGCTATTAAGTCGTGATTGCGACTGAGAAATACTTATCTGCGATATTAGGCGCTCTCTTTTTGATCGCGAACGAGTAGCGACTCATGAATCCGACAGTCGGTGAAACGAAGAAAAACAATGCATGATACGATTTCTCAATCTTAGTAGGCTGGTTACTCGTGTGTCACAACGACTCGCAACTTGAACTTTATCTAGATCAAGCCAGTTGGACTTTAGTCTTCCTTCTCAGCTCTTCTACAGATGTCACGCATTTTGAGGGGAGTGTCGCGTGATATCCCCCAAGAACGGCTCCAAAGAAGACTGTCTCGACTACATTGTGTAACCAGCTTTGCTCTCCTAGCCTGGTCTTGCCCTTCTTGTACTGGCCTGGGCTTTCATTTTTTTTTTTGTCTTTTCCTCTTTCTTCATGTCTTGCCTTGACTTGCCTTGTTTATTTTCCTCTTTCCCTTGTTTGCTTTGCTTCAGCTTGTCCGGACTTGTGTTAAGTCTTATCGCATTTTATCGAGTTTACCCCCGAGTGCGACTAATCTCAACCAACGACGCGAAACGGAACAACACGAAAAGATACGAGGAGTAATGTTTTTTTGGGCGAATAAAAGGTGATTGTTAGATTTATTGAACATCACAACTTAGCACAACTTTAATACCGAGTTATGGCTGGTTCGCCTTTACTCTATACGGTAACAAGGCAAGAGAATTTAGCTTGACTAGATTCTTCTTCTTCCGGTGCGGTATTAGATGTACAAGGTCGACTACTTTCCGTTTATAAACAAGAATTTTTCGCATCACAAAAGCAGAGACTTATGATATCCGGCCTTCAGAATAATGTAAACAAAGAAATATAGGATTAACACTTTAGCCCCCTAAGAGTGACTTACATCTAGTTTCTCCTTACTGTACCCCCCCTGAATCAAACATGGAAGTCATGAGAATAGAGGAGATGATCACCAACTTAAGCAGCTCTTGACAGTTAAACAAATTCTCCTTGCCAGCCTCTTTAGAAAGGTATGTGAACAGTATGGAGAATATGCATACTGATGTTAGGGTGTAAAGGGTTAAGAAAGTTTTCAAAGTCAAAAATAAAATCATTCCATGGTAAAGCTGAATTCAGGGGTTGCGGAAGTTGGTAATTTCGGGTGATGAGTGAACTCAAACAATATCTGGTGACTTGATGAATGCGGGTTTGAAGTTTCTTGTTTAGTTTTCACTGACATAAAGGAAGCCTTTAATTCATGCATTGTTTTCTCCTCCATGTTGACAACTAAACTGAATTAAATCTTGACAAAAAACTTACAGGGAAGTAAGCGATTGCTTTCTCGACAGCAATGTTAGAAGTGAACAGTTTCGTTGTTTCATCAATTTTAGTGACAAACCATGCTAGTCTGGTTTGAATTCAAGGACCGATAAGCCATTCTGAGTAGTGGGTGCAGAAAGGTGGTACTGTATGATCCTGGGAAAACTAATTTTATGAACTTGTGTTCGATATCAGTGACATAGCCGGAATTCCTGTTTGATTAAGTCATTTATTTTTAGCAAAAAAAGGAAATTTCCATTTTTAAATTATCACTCTTATTTTCAGTTCAGTAGCCTCAGTTCTGGTGAATGTTAGGAGATCTTTCTCCTCGCTTAAATTAACGCGGGGAGAGATCTTTTATTTAGCTGTAAGCACTAAGTGACTTCTTATTTTTTAAACGAAGAATGCTTCAACTTAAGTTAGTGGTTTTAGACGCAATTTACGTTCTGTCGCGGTGTCAATGAATAACATAATTATTTCGGAAAGGGAGTGTTTCAGAAAATGTGCAAAGAGGTTTCAGTGTTTCAGTTTCTCAGTTTTTTAGGAACATAATCGGGTAGCTTGTCGCATACGTGGCTATAGCTAATGTTAGAAACATGTAAAAATATCTTGGTGTATTTAACGAATGTAATGTTTGACTTTGAAAATCACTTCCTTGAACTTGTCACAAGCCTGAGTCTTTATATATTTGCTCTTTGCTTGATTCCAAAAATAAGTAAGTCTAACGAACCATCGAACATTCAATCGTGTCAAAGTAGACCAAGTCAATGCTGGAAACGTGGCATTTCCTCTCTCGATCACTTTTTCAAGGTATTAAACCAGGCCTAAGACTTATTGTCACATCCCTTTTGCCGCGCTCGTCTTCCGACCCGGCTGAGTCGTTAAGAAATACCGTATTACAAAACAATTACAAAAATAGTAACCAAGTGAGGATTTTAATCTAAAAGTGTAATATACTATCCTTTGATTCTGTCAACAAGACTTCTAGCAGACTTTTATTCCCTACCTGAATATAAACATAAATGCTGCAGACAATTGATATCGCCGCCAGGTTTTATCATATTTTAAATTTGCCTCTCGTGAGGTTTTGTTCAGGGTTTGGAAGTCGATCGAAGTAAAGTAATACGACTTAAGTAGCTTTCCTCGAACTTCAGAGGAAAATGCGAATGAAAATATAAGGAACAACAACAACTTAAACACAGGGACAAAAAAAAAAGTGTTATTGTGAAATGACCTATGCAATATTTTGTAATATCGCCATTATTGTTCAATTTTGACTCTATCTATAGTTTATGGTAGCCAAACGTTTCTGTAGCGAAGATCATTGCAAATGTTTACCGCCTCTATGAAACTTACAGCTGAGCGCGGACTGATATGCACAGAATACCGCGAACTGAGAAGGAAGAAACTGTCTTCCAAAAGAAAACGTGAAGGAATAAAGAAGCATAACTATACAGGAAACACTGTAAAGCGTTTCCAGACGCTGCTCTCAACCTAATGTTATGGAAGAATTAGAAAAAAGGCAAATTGTTTATCCTTAATGAAGTAATTTACGTAAATTGAGAGGGCGAGTATTTTTTCAAATGTTGAAGACTACGTCACCATTGTGGTTAGGAAGTGTTTTCAACAAGTTTTTATTCCGCCCACTTGTTATCCAAACGACAGTATTAAAGTAAAATTCTGTAAAATATTGAGCGACGGGTAAAGTTTAAGAGTTGTCGCAATACTATCGTTATACACTTATCACGTTTGCCTTCATTAAATAATAATGAATGAACATGCAACGAAGCGTATAGTTCTAAATAGCTCGTAACACTGACTCATGACTAGCAATGATGGAGTTTAGTTTGACTGATTCATTTGAAATTGTAAGTTAGCCGGCGATAGTTTGGTGAAGCTCATAAGGAAAGTTCACCAACTGCAAATAAATTTCAAAATAAATCAAGTAATTAATTTATTTTATTTGAATACAACTGATATTGCCTTGATGACATTCGGAGGGTGCCGCGGACAGGGAGGAAGTTTATCGCAACGTTTGTAGTATATCATGAACACTTTGTACCAGTAAAATTATGATACATTACTACGTAATAAATGTAAAATTTTGAGTTCTTTCATTTTCAATCGGTGCCTATTTGATATAAAAACGCTTTTATTTGTGGTTTAATGTCATCCCTAAATTTGGCTAGTACACAAATGACAGTTGAAAGGAATCTCTCTACAATCGCTGGGAGCGGCAAGCTAAAGCGGTATTTAACTGTCTTCTAGGAAATGATGCAAGATATCGAAGAGAAAAATTAAAAGGGAAACTATGAAAATGTTTTTTTACTTCAGTGATGCCAATTTGAAATTTGTTCTTTCAATTGCCAATTTGCAAAATGCTCAATTTCTACTGCAAACGGCTCTCTAAAATAAAAATTTGCAAAGACAAGAGACTTTTCATTGTTAAATATTTCTAGGTCTTATAATGACTTAGGCGTTGCATAAACAAGGAAAAAAGTTTTCAAGAGGGTTTAATTGAATGTAAAAATCCGAATCTCCGTTTTGATTCGTGGGTGGTTAAGCCTGAAAGCAGATGAAGCAATTGATCACTACAGCTGAATGAGAGCGGCCATTAAGCTACTTTTGACAACAATAAACGGTGATTACTTGAAGTTCATCTTATTGTTAAGCTAAACATTCCCACTCTTTTTGGTAAACGTCAATCGTGACTTCTCCGACGCGGCTTGGGTCCTGGTAAATCATCGGGATGCATCGTCAGTTGCCAAGTACCAACGAAGTGAAATCGTCGAACCCGGAAAGTTTACGACATCGCCGAAAATAAAACATGCCATCATCAACTAGTTTTGAATAAATGAAAATGCAGATTTTTTAGCGGAAACGGACTCGTCTGAAAAGGGATTCCCCTCGATGCGCTTATGTTTCTCTAGTTGATTATTTTAGCGCGTAATTTTCCGCATCGCGCGTAGCGCGTTGGTGACGCAATGAAGTGGAAGGAAAATATATCATTGGTGTAAAGTATATAAAGTAGCTTCGCTTTAAGAAAATTTCAAATCCATCTGTTGTTGGCTTTGCGCTGGTATTCAACCGTTCCAAAGACAGACCGAGCGGTGCAATTGTTTTAAGCTGTGAAAGTCGAGTAAAACACCAAGAATTATGCTGTTCTCAGTTATTAAGGTAAGATGGAAATTATTTTTCAGCAGTAATGAAAAACCACTGTGGTTTTCATTCATTCTCTTAGTTAACACGGGGCTTTGGTAAGGCATCCCGAAACTTGAATTTAAACGTAAATATTACATCAGTCTTGTAATTTGGAAAAGATATGGAATATACAGACCAACTTAAATTACAATTTGATGTTGAAAATCACTTGTTATATTTACGTGTGAGTTTGATACATTTGTTGTAATGGCATTGGATAATTTTTTTTAGGTTTTGTTCACGGTTCGCGAATTTTATATTGTACTAAAAATTAACATTTCGATTTGCTCACTCACCTGAAACAGATTCACTATCACGCACATTTTACACTGAGTTTGATTTAATGAAATAATAACTGATATATTTAAAAAGCGTTGGCTGAAAACTTCAGCATTAAAATTAATCTGTGATTTACCCCTTTTTCTTATCCTTTAATAGATACTATAACCGAAAATATCTCATTTCTACGCAGAGCAAATGCAAAAACTGTCGTTCAAATGTGGGAGGTCAGATAGTGAAAGTTCAAAAGTGTTTTTGGTAATTGTTAAGATTTGAAGACCAGAGTGAGCGAGGCGAAAATATTTTTGATTAGTCAGTTATTTAATCTACTGTAAGGTGAAATCAGAATTATTGATTAAGTATGATGCCAATTTCTCTTGACTCAGCAATATTTATATTAGCATAAGAACTTACAATCGCAACAATCTATTTATACTTTTCTTCATTATGTTTCAGGCGTTTTGGGCAGTTTTTACGCTCCTCTATTTGGCCCAAATGATCAACTCAGCTCCTTGCGGAGTGACGTTAGTTACACCAAGAAAAGTCGTGGAAAGAGTTTCCAGGTCTGGTTGGTTACTGGTGCGAGGAAATTCATGGGAGGATTTTAGGAAAAGTTTGAATATTCGGCCTCGCCAGAGGAGAGGCATTAATCAAAGAAAATCCCGTCACTGTAATTGGACTGACGAGCTTGACGAGAACGTAAATAGAAAGCCAAGATTTTTACACAAAGCAGTACTAGGGTGCAAAAGTTGCTCTTCGTTTTGCAAGCCCGTGGAGTTTGATCATAAGGTACTTGTTAAAGATTGTAACGCCAGTCTAAGAACTCACAGAGAGAGAATGGACGTCTGGAAATGGGAGACAGTGACACTACCAGTGGCGTTTGTGTACAATCCTTAAAAAACACCAAATCGATGTAGCTACCTTCTATGTGTCATCGTGACATTGGGAATATACGACACAAGATTTGGATGAATCTGCAAAGTACCTCAAAGAGATAAGCTATATAATCTATAAATATGAAAACCACTTAAATGAGTGACGAAAGGAAGGAGAAAAAGAAGGACATAAACGAACTAATATAAAAAAGAAGAAGGATGTGAACTCCGAAAGTAGTTCAGAAGGAGAGCCTCTGTGTAGACACGCACTTAAATTCAATATGATGTAAAAGTTATAAATATTTCCTTCTATTATAAAGTAGGCAGATAAAGAATTTTAGAAGGAGAAACAGGCTGAATGAATTTAATTCTAAATTTGACTATTCGTGATGCTTTTAGAAAATTTTTATCATCATTTTGTGATTATTTATTATTCCTCGTACAACGTGAAAATAGCTTTTAACCCTTTAACTCCCAGATCGAATTTGTAATTCTCCTTACTGTCAACCATACAATTCTTATCATGTTAGTTCCGAGAATTAAGTGTTGGATCAACTAGTTATCCCCAAATTGATATTTTTCTTTATTCTCATCACTTATCTGGTTGACATTGTATTGATATTGTAAGGAGAAATTCTGTCTTGGTCACTCATGGGAGTTAAAGGCTTAAAGCCGTTTTTAGGATTGCTGAATGATGTGGAATAGAATTCTACAGATTCTGTGCCAAGCATGGAAAAAAAAAGTTGACTCAAAGAGTTAGAAATATGTTTTCTCTAAGTTGAGAACACTCAATAATGGTATATTTATTTTACTTTTTATCTTATTTATTATCACTTCAATTACTATGATCATCGTCAATATTATCACTTTTTTGATTGTATCCATTTATTTCAAAGAACACGATTTTTCTAAATAATCATTTTATATCATTTTTTTCTAACAGAACGTCCCAAAGATGCGCTCATTTATTTAATTATATTCAATACGTAACCAGAAAATAAACAGCCTTGTAGTATCTTTATTTATTAAACAAATGTTATAATATTTCAGATAGTTTAAGTCAGAGTGATTAACTGGAATAAAGTGAATGAAAATGAAAACTAATTATGGTAATCATTCATGCCGATTTCGGGAATATATAATCTAAATTGAAATTTGTGGTGAGTTCCTTTAGTCTATCGTAGGCCAATAAACACCAACATTGTGGCTTGTACAAATATCTTATTTTGTTTGTAAACAATTCTGTCACCAGCTGACAAATTACAGCTCATTTTTTTACGGTTACTACACACCTTGACGGCTTCAATAAATCAGTGATCATCGAAAACGGCGGATTCGCACAAATTATTCTTGTTCACTTTACTCCGATGAGGATTTCCGCATAGGCAATGGTGACGCCGGTCACTGCAACCAATATCAGTCCATTTTAAGCCCTACTCTGACACAGAGGATCAGACTACACAATTACACATAATGATTTGCGATGGAACAGTTTGCAGCAGGTTTTCTGCGCTTGGACAGTTTCATTCTTTATTTCGGCTTCTTCTTCTCCCTTACGTATTTGCTATCATAGAAATCTAAAATCTTTTAGGCTGAGCGATTTTTCATTCAGCACAAAACATTGTGACGTGTAATGTACCTTCACGCCTGACAGCTCAGCCAGATATGATGCGGATGTCCGCTGAAGGCTCTTCGTTATCAATATTCTCCGTATTTCTTCTTCAGTAAATTTAATCCGTTTAAAAGGAGCTTAACTTTCGCAATTTAGGTTTGAAATCATATAAAACGGAAGCGGTGTGTTTGGCTCGTTTGAACGGGTCAATATAAGCTTTGGCTGCTCCCAGTTATCTTGGAAGCAACGCCAATTCAATCTGAATTTAATCCGTCGTTCAAAGCCAAGGATTTAGAGGTTGAGATATCTTGTGTCAGCGGTCGAGCTCGATCCTCGACACGAGGGTCGGCAGAGGTAAAGCGATTACAATTTTTGCCCATAGCCGCTTTTGGATGTATAATATCCCTGATGCGTGACGTGACATGTAATCTGATTTCCAGAAACTCTACCGTTGTTACTTACAATTGCATCAATGTTTCTAAAAAAAATGTCATAAAGAATTACGCTATTTTATCAGATGTCCCCTCAGTTTCAGTAGGGATTCTTTACATCCTTCAGAATGTGCTAAATCGGATGCGTGACTGGGCAAGATATTATTTATGCAAAGGTATTTTCATCAAAGCAAAACATTTGACTCTAGGCATGTAACGCAATACACTAGCGTGCTTCCAATCGACTTCCTGTTATGTGTTTCCATAGATATCGGCCAAACCAACTTACATCGTCTATACAAACAAAAAAAAAAAACGGGGTTTGTTACTGTAAACGTCAATTGTGACTCTTGAGTAGTGTAATTTAACATTTGGATCGGTTATTATGGTGAGTCATTGTGTCGCGTCATTAACCCGTGAGTAGATTGCTGTGAAACTAAAATTCTCCGGAACTTTCGGTCGCTGTCTTTGAATCAGTAATTTTTTAATAAAATGGAAACTTGGAGTAAACAATTCATGACATAAGGGCAGTGTTTACGTCAATGGCCTCTTCTATGGCTTTGCTTGAAGGGACATGACAATCTGAAAGCCGCAGCGAAAGGACTTCATTTAAATTTTACTAGAGGGGGAAATAACCTGGCGGTTTCGTTAAGGCAGAGTTAAATCACCGAGTAACATTTTTTTAGCGAAGATCTAACGGGCAAAGTCAGCAAAATAATAACGTCGCGCGGTTTCAATCGTATCTTCTGACGCTGCCAGTAAGTACAAGTGCTATTTTTGCGGACGCAACCCGGTTTAGCTCGAAAGAATAGTTTAGTCACTCAATAAAATTAATTTGCCAGTAATATTGATAGAGATTGCAATCAAAATAACATCTAAAGAACTATTGCGCAACTGGAAAGTAGTTTCCCCTTCGAAGGACTCATCAGCGTGACATTGTAGCATTTTGGCGTGACGGAGGTTATGAATCATGATAGGCAGAAGAGTTTCACCACCGTTTAAGCTCAAACAAAGGGGTTTTCAGGACGTGAGTAATGGAGCAAATTTAAAATTTGCTGAAAACATAAAAAAGAAAACCTTTTCTTTAACTTATACGTAATTATTACTTCTAAACTAACGATATTTCCTTAAAAGGCTTCTGTGTGGGAGGAAGATATAAGATTACAATACACGGAGCAGAAATATACACGGAAGAGGAAAATTCGTTCGGCGCTTCATTTGTTTTGGTACACAATCTATCAACTGAGTTAAAAATAAATCTTTTTTTAGATAATTTACCAATGTAAGGGGTTTCCCTTAGCTGCAATAATGGCACACCCATTCTAGGGTGTCTTAAATAGGATGGCAGAAACTTCGTTTGCAATACTTTAGAATCACCTTGGATTTCGTTGACTAAAACGACTGGCCAACACTTTTAGCTCCTCACAGCAGCATATTCGGCGAAATGAATTTAAGGAAGCTTCTCTTGGTGAGTAAATGTAATTGAACTGAGAGAACTTTACAGGATGGTCGATGATTCATTCGTTAGCTAGATTAGAGCCTGTTGATAAACTCTTGTAAACAGAATGTTTAAACCTTCATTCGCCGGCCGTATTTAGTCAAAGTTTTCCGGCTGAACGGCAGAGGCTTATTTTGATTTTCCTTGAGCCTGTCGTTCGAAAGAAGGCCCGAAAAGTTTAGTCCAAATATGACATATCCTTTTTCCGTTTTTGCAGGTTGCAAGTGAGGTTTATGTTTTTTTCTTTCATGAGTTTTTATGCACTTCTCTGAAAAACCGTTCATGAATAAGATCTAAGTTAAATTGTAATAATTGATTTAACTCCGCGCTTAATGTGCTTCGCTGAAGCGTACTAGCCTAAGAGATTAGTGGACGATAAAATCAACTTGATTTTGATCAGCTACTACGCTAATCGAAGGCCAAAGCTCACGAAGTTGTCCTTAAAATCACTGAAATCGTTAGAAACATCAGGATAGTCCGAAATATCATTCAAATATTCAATTGGTTTACGATATGAGTTGTATTCACTCAATTACGGCACTTATTTTTACTAGAATTCATTTTAATTCTGCTAGAATAATAATTTTGGTTGAGTCGACATTCACAGTTAGCAAATTATACCGCTTTATGCTTCCAGCCCTTTCCATGGTTTAACTGTTCAGCGCTAAACGTTTGGAAGCCTCTAATGACTAACTTTCACGATAAAAGGTATATCTTTCAGTAGACTTAATTTCCATGATATTAGCTCCGCTCGAATAGTTCCATTGCATATGATAATTGTCTGTTTCTAATCTGTTTGTCCAAACACATTGTGTCGTTCCCGAAGTGGACCGTATTTCCAGGCTTTTGATCAGGCGATTACATCTTCCCATTTGCTTAAAAGGGATCGTCTACACCTTTATAAAACAATCTTGTATAGGCTATTTGTGGTTTTAATAATCTCCATCTCATTTGTTAAAGAATCTCTTAATTTATTAAGCTGGATGAGAGGAAATCAAAATCTAAAGTGCCTCATCATTTTCACCATATAGGCTTTTTGTTGTTGTTGTTGTTGTTGTTGTTTAGCTTTTTTTTTAGTTTTGTTTGATGTAAATTGTTGGAATGTTGACAATTTGTTTGCCTAGGTTGTCGAAAACGCATGCGCAGTCTATACAACTAACAACTTTTCAATTCCACTTCACGCACCGCATGATTAACTTTTACTCCCCTGCGTAGAAGATGTACTGTAAATGTTAGACTGATGATAAGGTTAATAAGACATAACTTGTTCCTCACAGATTCCTGGCTTGCTGGCCTCTTTTGTTATTACATTACTGGCAGGGCCATTGCCACAACCATGTGGTAAAAAAATGTACCCTAAAAAGGTGCTGCGACGTATACTGAAGGAGAAACGCTTTATGATCATGGAAAACGCCATGGCTGAGGCAGACGAATCAGGCCTTAAGATACCGCTACTAAGAAAAACACGCTCTGCCTCGCCCATAATGCAGGGGGCATCTCCCTGTCAATGGCAATGGCGGTCTACAGACCGACCAAGTGAAATTCCAAGGTTTTTAAGAGAGGCACATTGTCCAAACTGCGACCATTACTGTACCGCCATAAAGTACACAGTTAAAGTTTTGGTCCAAGATAAGTGCGACCCAAAAAGCGGCTTACCAATCTGGCGATGGAAGGAACGTGAAATAAAAGTTGGGTACTTTTACAAGGGAAGCAGATAAAACGTAAATTTGTCTACTTATGTGATCAACTGCTCAAGTCTCCTGACGGTGGAAATGCACACGTGAGCATTCAGGCGAAGAGAATCAAGGGAAGTAGTCCAAAATCACTATTTTGATGAGGACAGAGATTTTTCAAGTGATATTCATGAATAGAAAGTTTACTTAACGAATATAAGAAACTCGTATTTTTGGCTGCAGTGGGTATTACCCGGCCTGATCAGTCAATTGAAATCTATATTGAGCAATCACCTATATCAAAAATGGTTTAGGGAAAATGTTTTTCAAGCACATGATCGATTTGTTATCTCTGATAATCACACGATCGCCGATTTCCATTAGTTTTTTTCTTCAATTTATCAGTCTTTCTTAGAAAAACTTTCAACGTTTAGCCGCCGTCAGGATATATGTTCTTTTAAAGCTAAGAATGCTCTGTCTACAAGAAGGTGATTATGGCGAGGTGTGATAATAGTTTAATATCTCAGCGAGGTCTTTTTGACTTTGACTAATATATTTTCAATGATCAGTCAGTTAAATGTAAAATTATTTTGGATCAATATCAGTATTTTATTTTATTTCTTTCTTTGATCGATTTCAATTGATTTTCAGGTCGGGTTTACTGAGTTCAGCATAGTTATCACTTATAAATAAATTATATAAATTTCGTTTCAAATTATCAACAAGAGTGCGAGATATACCCAGTTTGTATAGTGTGAAGATGAAACAAATAACAAGTATTTATTAGTGACCAGTCATATTTATCACCCGTGAAGGATGGGGGGAGCAGAGGGGTAGGGGTAGGGGTAGGGGGAGTAGAGGGCTAAGGGTAAGGGTAAGGGTAAGGGGAGCAGAGGGGTAGGGGTAGGGGGAGTAGAGGGGTAGGGGTAGGGGTAGGAGTTAGAAGAACATTACATAGCCTTGGTAGGGGATCAGGTAACTGTCAAGAGGGCGGGGGGAGATTCATGAGAATATTACAGAGACTTATCGAGGGATCAAGTACATATTATCGAGACACAACTAGAGTTCCCCGCCCCTCCCCTCCCGGTGATTAATATTGACCGATCTTTTATATGTCACAAAGTTTGTATACGTAGTCACAATGTGACAGCATCATAACGTAGGAATTTTCCCTTCTTTCTGTCTCAGTTTTCAAAGTTTTTATTGTATAATAATTTATCCATATCTAATTTATTGATAAAGATATATAAATTTTAAAGTATATCATTGAGAGATATTTATTATGTCTTGATCAAACACATATATTGCCGATTATTTAAATGAATGAAATATTTTTTTAACTTTATATCGATCTAGAGTTTTTTCATGAACTAAGTTTTTTTCGCCAATCCTTATCACTGTGAATGGCACTATGTTGTAAAAAAAAATGCATATTTCTGTAATAAAATACTTTTTTTTGGTCACTCAATTTGTTTGAAGTTAAAAGGCATCAGAAAACTATTTTAAACAATAGGCGGTTTGAAGTTAGCTAGAACTAACATTTGATCATGTAGTATGACCGTCCAGGTGAGGGGAGTCCCGGGAAAGACTGTAGTAGTTACTGACGTTTGGTAAATCTTACCAGAAGTCATCGTCACGGAGTTAAACATTTTGTAGGTGGCCACAAGGAGAAATCCTGACTCTGATAATGACTTCTGCTAACTTTGTGAAAACGTCAGCCATTACAACCGATGGCAGTCCTCCCCAGTGCTACTCTCAGCCGGGCGCGCGGAGCACATGATCAAGAAACTGGATCAAAGGACGTAACGCCTACTATGTCAGAGGTTCAGCGCACCAAACTCTGAGCCACCGTGCCTTACACGACTTACAAGGCACTGAAAATCCCACCATTTCCTAAGCCAGTTGTACATGACTGGAGTTAGTGGGAGAAAATTGTTGTAACTCGCGAAGCAACTGAGGATCATATGGGAGTTTAAAAAAACCTACAACTGATTAATCATGGCTAATTTTCCTAGTCTGAGCACATCATTTTCTCTGAGCCACCAGATTGGTTGATTTCTGTTGTGCAAATTGGAAAAAATTCGGCTTTATGATAACAGTTGTAAACAAGTAATGGCGTTCAGAATGGTATAACATGTCAAGGGCTACTCCAGAGCTTTGATCTCCTCGACAGCTTTCCTCAACGACTTAATGCATATCACAAGCTCCTCTTTCGTTTCCAATCGTTGCAGGCCCAGACCTAAAAGCTTATTCAATGCGTCCATAAGGCGTGCTTTCAAAACAGCATTACCGTTGCTCCCTTGATTTCCTCTCATCGCGCCATAAGGGTTGTCGCCGACGCTCTGTGTCATCGGTGCACTACAGTTGGAAACGTCCACATTAGTAGAGAAGGGGTAGGTATTGAGCTGAACTGTTCCCCCACGAATTTCTGCATTGGCAGCTTGCGTGGCTTGACAGCTCTGAAAACTCCTGTCTGGAAGAAGAGAGGACATACCTTGCTGTTGCTTCCCTGTATATTCTTGCACATCTACTTTTTCCGCAAGTAAAGGAGTGAACGTTTTCTGAATCTTCGTCGTTATCGGACCCTCTTCGGAAGCAGAAAGAGGTCCTGTGGAAGCATCGAGCCGGGTGGTTGTCAAAGTAACCGTTTCGTTTGCACCAAGGTGGTTCCTACTTTGCTCCAGACGTGAAGATTTCACAAACGGCGCAGAGCTGGTTGGTGAAACAAGAGGATGTCCCCTCTTCTGTTGATCAGTTGGATAGGTGTAAGTCCTGAGCCTCAATGGAGACGAGAATTCATTTGCTGATGCTGTGCGATTGACAGCTGTCTTTCCACCTACAAATCCACAAAAGTTTTTCTATTTTCAACTTTTATAAACGTAACTTAGTTTGTTAGAGCTAAAGTAAGAATATTATTTTCTGCTTTTAAGGGGCTCTACAATAATTATCAGTACGGCGGAGGGCG